TTGGAGATCCCCTATGGAGGGCCTCACCCTCCCTGAGGAGCAGGGGAGGGATGGGGTGGGAGGAGTGGAGGGCAAGGGAGGAGAGGAGGGGGAGAGCTGGGATTGACATGTGAAGCATGCTTGTTTCTAATTGAAAATTTTAAAAGGAAAACAAAAAGACGGGCGTTGGTGGTACACGCCTTTAATCCCAGCACTCAGGAGGCAGAGGCAGGCAGATCTCTGTGAGTTCGAAGCCAGCCTGGTCTCCAGAGCGAGTGCCAGAATAGGCTCCAAAGCTACACAGAGAAACCCTGTCTCGAAAAACCAAAAAAAAAAAAAAAAAAAAAAAAAAAAGAAAGAAAGAAAGAAAGAAAGAAAACAACAACAACAAAAAGAAAATAATCAAAGAAATAAATGTGTAAGGCTTCAAAGTTAAACAAACAAAAAACAACACTGACCTGGAGATAGAGGAAAGTTCTCTCCAGTGCCTGGATAAGTTGCCTAACATATTCTTAACTAGAATAAATCTTTAAACATGTCTAATTCCCAAAGCAGGCATGAGAACAGATTTACTTCAAACTTCCAAGGAGTGACAGCTCTGGGGACAACATCCTCGACATACAGAGCTGACACCCTCGGAGACAGAGATGGTAACATCCCTGGAAGCTCCATTATGCAAGCCTATAGAGACCACACCCATTTGGGTTTCTGGGATCAGTCACTCCAAGTGGCAGAAGGCAAGTAGCTAATCACCCACAGAACCAACCCCAGAGATACCTCATTTCATCTCATCAGACCTCACATCTCTGGGTGCCAGCAGGAGATCTCAGTCCACAAACCAAACAAGGGAACCTTCGCATGTACAGAATAAAAGCTGCTTTAAAATGGGGGCTGTAGAGATGGCTCAGTGTTTGAGAGCACTGTCTGCTCTTGCAGAGGACACAGGTTCAATTCCCAACACCCATGATGGCCAACAACTGTCTTAAACTCCAGTTCCAGGAGATCTGCTATCTTCTTATGGCCTTTGAGGCCATGTATAAAAACAATGCACAGACAAGTGCTCATATGCACATAAAATAAATTTCTTATTTTAATTACTTTACATAGATATTGAACAATTTTTGCCTCAGCTTACTTTATGTTTTGAGGAGGAGCCCCTGAAATCCATATCTTGTCAGAATGGTAATAGTTCAGGCCCCTCTTCCTCTAGGACCCCACACAGAAAATAGGAACATAGGAGGAAAGATGAAAAAGAGTGGACAAGGAAGTTTGTTTTCTCAGAACTATGTGAGATTATTTTGCTACCTCTAATGAGCCCTTAAGGAATAAACTGGAACTCAGAGACATGGAGTTATACTCACAGGGAGTATGGTTCAGGACCACAAATAATGAATTCATCCGGAAATATCATTTAAGTTGTAGAACTTTATGGAGAAGCCACAGGTCCTATCCTGATGATGGCCTTCCACTTTATGGTTGCATGATGTGCAACCAGGATGAATCAAATAGGTAAGTGAGCTCCAATTCTGTGACTCTTGCCTCTTGCCATGGAGAAGGGGAGGTGAAAAGGCCCTTGATCAAAAGTAATTTTTGTCTTATTTCTAGGACTTCATTAAAGAATATGGCTAACCTCTGTGATGTCGGGCAGATTAAAACAGTTAAATAAGAGGTAACCTGAGCTAAAGCATTACACCACTGGGTTGCCTTCCTTGATTCAAAATCAAATTTCAGTCAGAAAGGATCTAGCTAAGTGGGCATTTGACAATGGGAGTGGTTGGAAATAGGTACACATTCTAAATAGTAGTTATTACTTTTTTATAGCATGAAGACATTTATTAGAGTTTAAAAGAAAAATCCCAAGATCAGGGAAGCTGTAAATCTTCACAGCTGCCCGGAAGAGGAGAAAAGAGGACAGAAGGAAATGTTGATGCCATTTCCATGTGGCCTGCATGAAGGTCAGCTTCATGGCAGCCAGGAGCCACGTGGTGAGCGGTGTGACAAAGAAGTTCAAGTAGTAGGGAAAGTATGCTTAAAGCAGGGACAAGAGGGGGAAAACAAAACAAGTTATGGTTCCCTGGGTAGTTCAGGAAAGTGGCATACTTGAGAAGACAAAGGCTCTGTCACAGGGCAGGAATTCTGGGAGTGCAAAGGACAATATCTCATGAATGGACTGATTAGCCTACCTACCTCTTCAGCATGCCTTAAAGTGAGATGCCTTCCTCAGGATGGCTCCCGGGCCAGGTGACTGACATCAGGCCTTCACCCAGGCCAGACATTGACCAGATTTCACTTAATGGACCCTTCCTGCTGAAGAGCTATGGTTTTAACTGGATTAGCTTTTAAAGATTTGGAATAAATACTAGGTTCTTATAATCCAACTAATTCTTCCTGAGTGAATCAAAGTTCATAGAAGAAGCAATGCTGAAGCTGACATTGGAAAATAGGAGAGTAAGTCTGGTAAAGAAGGAGATTCCAGAAAGAGAAAATGAAACAATTTCTGCCCCATGAATTAATTAGCAATCAAGTGTCACATATCTGAGTCTTCTTTAACATAGAAGTTGGCATATGATCCTGCTCTAATAAGTAAGAATTCACCATGAGCCATTATCTATAAATAAGGGAACTGGCACATTAAATTATGACCTGAGGATAAACAAAATACCAAGATGATGGGCTGGAGAGATGGTTTAATAGTTAAGAGCACTGGCTACTCTTGCAGAGGACCTGTGCTCACACACACACCACCACCAGCAGCAGCAGCAGCAGCAGCTCACGAACATCTGTAGCTATAGTTCCAGGCATGCACATAGTACACAGGCATACATGCCAGCCAAATACTTGTACACATAAAACAAAATAAATAAATCTAAAAAATGCATGCAAAGTAAAGACACAGAGGGTTTAATTTGCCATTCTTCCCAAGAAACCCCCTTCCTGCATCTTTTCTGAACAGAAACTGTAGTTCCTGTGGAAGATGCAGAATTCAGAACACAAAAGAAACTCTCACCTATACAAGCATTTCCAAAGAAAACTGTCTCCCCTTTCCTGCAGATATTTAACAAAGCAGAGGGTGTGCATGGAGGCAAAAAGAAAAGCCCTCAGCTCCATAGCTTGGCCCTGACTAAGGTGGGCAATATGAAGTCTGCGCCTGCCCCTTGTTCCTCTACAACTGGACCAGGTTTGGTGAAAGCTACCATAGTGATTCCAGAGGGAGCCAGGTGTGCCTATGGGACAGCTCCTGGCAGCCTTGCTGATAAAGGGTGTGAGGGCCAGGCTAGCACAAGCAGAGGCAGAGACACCTATTGTAAACTGGGTCAGAACAATGAAATTCTTCTCGAGTTTCTGTGCTCTAATCAATGTTCTGCTCTAATGAAGCCATTAATCAGAAAGGATCTGCATAAACAGAGGCCCACTTGGCACATCAACAAATAGCCAGTGATGGATTTTGCATTAAATTATAAGACCTACCTTACACCTTTATTGGTTCCCAATAAACACATCTCTCTGAAAATCCAACCCAACTCAATATTTAGGTATTTCTAAGATCTCCCAGCTGCAAATAAGCTCACAGAGGTTCTACAGCTCTTCCCTCAGAAAGGAGACACGCCCTCCAGAAGGGAGGCTCATAAGACTCCAAAGTTGACAAAGTTCACTCAACAGTATTAGGCGGCTCAGGAAAAATGACCCTGTCACCCACAATCCTATGAGTGGTCCCCACCAATGCTTCTGTAACCCACTCCGATAAACTCATTGGTTCACCAAGACTTGGGTGGAATTATTTCTTCAGTCTGTCTCCAGTGCCCTATCTGGAATAGACAAGTGTTTGTTCTCATCTCCCCAGGAAAAAAGTCATGAGGAGCAGAGGCAGATAAGCTGGGGCACTGTTATCTGTCCCTGACTCTGCAGCCATGCTTTGAGAGTGATGAGACCAACCACTGAGAGTAATCACAACTTGTGATGAAAACACATCATGATAATGCACGTTTTCCATGTATATCAGAAGGTGCTGGGCGTGGAGTCATCTAATCAGGACCTGCTACCAGGCATTCCTGTAAATAGTTTTCAGAAGCCACTGTGCCCATTCATACACCTACACGCCAGCTTCCTTTTGTCCCGCAGGAGCAGAGTTAGGAGAAGTAATAGAAAACTGGTCTGCAAAAGCTAAAATATTCCCTCTGTAACTCTTTATAGTAAGGAAGAAAAATGTTGCTAATGCTTTCTAGAAAAAAAGGAGGAAGAGGAGGGAGGAAAAGGATTAAATATGAAGTGACCTGAGCTAAACTGCTAGACTCTGGGCCCTCCTTAACTCAGACAGCACAAAACTTCAGTTAGGGAGGCTCTAGGCCAGTGGGTATCAGAGAATGGAAGGTGCCTGGGATAGACGTAGTTATGAAATAGTTGTTACAATTGATTTTAACTTGATTGGCGAGTTAGGATTTCGAATAAATTCTAGGTTCACCTAACCCACCTAATTCTCCCTGTTTGAGAACATCAGGAAAGAATTAGACTGTGAGCTAACAATTGAAGACATAGAATAAATTTGGTAAAGAAAGAGGGTCCCAAAAGAGAAAAGGAAACAATTCCTGCCTAAGAATTAATTATCAAGCACTCTTATTTGAAGATTTGAGTCATTCTGAGTGAGAACTGGCCCACGAATGAGGCAGGGGGAACACTGCTCAGCCCCCCTCAGTAAGAAAATGTGATAATGATGGTTATGGTTCAGGCACTATCATTTGCTTTAATATAGAAACTACTGCTTATTGGATGTCTGTCACATGCTGGGCCTTCTGCTCCTGCTCACGCATTATCCCATTTAATCTTCACAGCAGTCTCGTGAGGTGGATACTATTATTATCCTCATTTTACAATTGAGGAGACGATCTTAGAGAAAGGTAGATAGGCTCTGCAAGTCTCTGAAATCAGGAAGGACTGAGGAAGGCAAGCTGTCATCTCACCACTGTCCATCAAACCTCTGCACCAGGCACCAGCCCCGCCCAGAAGCCTCCACCAAGCTCACTCACCTCGACAGACCTTACAGCACTGGTTCTCGGGGAGAATGTGATCCTCTGCGGAGCAGTTCAGAGGAGGGCAAGCTTCTGTGATCTTTACCAAGACTCCGCCCTAGAAGCCAAATACCAGAAAGAATTAGTTCACGTGTACAGCCAATCACAGCAGCTTCTACTGCTCCCTGTGAGTAGACTGTAAAGGTAACCAGACAGATACTAAGAGCCTTACTTCCTGGGAATTCCACCAAGAGAGAGGGACAATCCTGAAAGTCAAACTGATGAGTCCAGGGAGAGAAAGAAGGCTAACTTTCTATATCAAAAAAGCCTGGGTTTCAACAATTTTCATTTATGTTTTAGTCTCTTTTTTAATTCAAAGGGACGCCCATGAGATGGGCTGATGATTTCCAACGGCTGATAGCTAAGTGTTGTGGCCCCCTGTGTCAGGTCCTGAGTTCTATGCTGTAAATTGCAATAGTTCACTTTGTGCCACCCATGTTGTGTACAACAGGCTTCTGTGAAGCAGTTCCCACTTTCCATGGGCCATAGCCTTGTCACCAGACACCAACAGGGTATCTTCCTAGTTCTTAGTGAACTTACAATTCAGGTGGAATGAGATACATAATTCCTAAACTAGGAGCGTTAATACAGTACAGAAATTCCTTTTTAAATGTGCTCCGATAAATATAATAAAATTACTCTCTGTAACATGCTACAGAGTGTAATTAGCTCTGGCCGAACAGGGAGAAATTATGAAATGGCCACGTTGGAGGGAACTTGAGTAACTGAGTAAGAAAGATTTAACAACCCTAAAGGGTTGTGGGGGAGAGGAGGGAGAAGGAGAAGGGATTGACATGTGAAGCAAGCTTGTTCCTAATTTGAACTAATAAAAAAATACTAGAAAAAAAAAAAAAAAAACAAACAAGGGGGGGGGGGGGGGGGAGAGGAGGGAGAAGGAGAAGGGATTGACATGTGAAGCAAGCTTGTTCCTAATTTGAACTAATAAAAAAATACTAGAAAAAGAAAAAAAAAAGAAAGAAAGATTTTACAGGCCAAGACTATAGACAAGGTACATGGCCATGAAAGAACATCAGGCAGATGAAAAACAGATTTCCTGTTAAATATTCAGCCACTGTACACTCATGGCCTCACTGCCTAAGGTCCTTTATGTTGGTGTGAATAGTGTCTGAGTTTAGTTTTATGCTGAAGTTTTAAAAGTTTTAAAAGAAGCCAACTAATTAATTTCTTTGAAAAGGTTGAAGACACTCTTACTTTATTTAAAGCATTTAGTTTTTTCTCTCCTTCTTTGCAGGATATTTAAGATGGCAAGAGGAGCCTTACTTTAGGCCAAAGGCAGTCCCAAACACAGGTGGGTCAGGGGGCAGGACAGAGCTGCACAGCCAGGAGAGACAGATGCCATGTTTTATGTTTCCAAGAGACTAGCCATTCCTCCTCTGGCCACCTCACCCCTTCCCAGTTCTCTGATTTGACAGAATGGACACCCATTCAGATGTATACAGATACAACATCGATGCCAAATATAAATAGGAAACACAAGACTCTTGCTTGAGTGCTATCCTGTTGGTATTACAAAGTGAGCCACAGACATCAGCTACTCCTCTCAGGGTAAGTTATCCTCAGCATGACTTCCTCATCTTTCTGGAAGTTTCCTACCCAGCCAGCCTTGTTCCTAGCATTCTCTCTCATATGTTTTTTCTCTGGCACTCTTTCCAAACTCTTACTTTTCTCCTCCTGGTTCCACAAGGGACTGGCCATAAGATTCAACAACAGATCCTGTTATGTTCAGTCCTCTTCTACCACCAGAGTCTATTCTCATTCCTCAGATCAGATGACAGTGGTCAGCATCTATCCTCAACAGCAAGCAATAGGTCTAAAATAGCAGTTCACATCTGAGTCAAACCAATTATTACAAGGCAACTAAGGCTGAACATCTTACTCTGGGGACCTGCACTGTCTGTAAATGGAAATGAATAACTCATTATCAACTCCAAGCCTATCATCTCACCGTAATATTCTGGTTCTATGGCATTGCTTCCAACATAGGTAAGAACTTCTAAATAGTTTTTAACCAAACTATGCTCCCATATCCAAGTTCTGAATGCTTTTCTACCATCCTAACATTGGCTCACCTCTGCCAGAAGGAGCATTGCATCCATTCAGAAAGCTGGAAGCCACCTTCAAGTTTTATAACCTCATGCCAAAGGCCCAAAGTCCATGGCTTAACAGTATGTGACATCTCTACTTATAAAATGCACAGTCTCTGAATTATAATTTATGTTCCAGTGTCCAGTAGGTTAAGCCTATATGTGACCTTTCATCTGAATTCTCCCTTGCTCAGGTTCTTCCCATCTACCATCTGAGGCATCCAACAGTCTAACCAGTCCTGCTGGGAGCACTCCCTGGACAGGTCACTCTGCCGAAAGCCTTAGTGCATAGTCAGCTTCTAGGATTACTCAAATTAAGACAATTCATGAGTTTCACTATACCATGAAAGCTGTTATCAAAATGCTAACTGCTAAAGAACTCATCTCTGTGTCATCAGATTCTGGGTGATTACTTCCTTGTATTGTTTCCTTTAAATCCAAAATTTTGCAGCATATTTAACAAATATGTGTGTATGTATATCTATATATCTCTCCATATATGTTAAAAATACTTTAAACACCACAGAAGACTTCTTTAAAGTAATCATGATGTTTTCATTCTATAAAAGGAGCTTGCTCTAACTACTGATCACATCAGTCAACAATTCTTTAAAAAATGTTTCATTATATTTATTTAGTTGGGGGCATGCATGTGCCACAGCATACATGTGGAGGTAAGAGAACAAGGTACAGAGTCAGTTTTCTCCTGCCATGTATATTGTGGGAACTGAACTCAGGTTATCAAGCTTGGCAGGTAATCTACCTGCTGAGCCCAAAGTTGAGGATTCTAATCAACATTTAATGTAGTTGATAAGTAAGACCCAATTCCAAAGTCTAAATTGAGACAAACCTATTTGCATATTTTTAAAATAATGTGAACTGTCATTATTGCTGTATAAGTACGCCTAAATCCATTTAACCCCGGGAAGTAGTGTTTTGCAACTCTATTTTGAAAAACATCAGCAGTAAAGCGTTAATCTGTCATTCCTACTTTTGAATCATCCTGATTGTGACATGTTGTGACCGCTACACCAAGCTCTGTGTTCATATAAAAAAACAATTATTCCACTTTTTCTACTTTAGAGTAACTAGCCTATGTCAGTGGTCAAATATAAACATTCCAAGCTCTATACAAAACTCCAGGCTCTGACCTGAGTTCTAACAACATGCAAACATTGGTAAGTTGAAAAATGCCAGAAAAAAAAAAACCCTGAATATTGGAAAAACGGAAACAAGACTGTTGCAAGTTATTCAACTTAATATGATGCAAGCTTGCTGTGAGATCATGTCTCCTAGCAATGTCAGAAGCTACATCCATGAGGTCTCACCAACATGACTGCCTAAACAGGAGACTGACAAGGAAAACATTCATAGACATCCCAACGTGGATGGGGAAATCCCATAAGGCCTCAACTCTGCATGAAGACTAACACAACTAAGGAGTGCCAAGAGCAGCAGAAATAGTCTCTCCCAGGAAAGAGTATTTCAATCGTTTATCCAATACTAAACAGTTAGCCCTGAAAACAAACATACAAGTAACATTATATAGACTGAGCAGGATATATTTAGGAATATATATGTATATACATATATACAGGCAATAACAATTAATAAAGGAGAGAATATGGATTTAAAAGAGAGCAACGAGGGGGAAATGGGAGGAGCCAAATCAAGGAAAGAAAAGGAAGAAATCTTTATATTACAATCTTCAATGTTTTACAAAAACAAAGTAAGAAACAAACAGTCTAAAAAAACTAATATGTTCGACTAAAGAGATAGCTCAGTGGTTATGAGCTGGTGATGCTAGTTTGGTTGCCAGAATCCACATCAGTTGGCTCACAACTTTTTCTAACTCCAGCTCCAGGAGGGCATACAACTCTGTCCTCTGAGTGACCTGTTCTAATATGCACAAACACACAGAGAGATACATAGATAAAGGGAAAAATCCTTTTCCAAGATAATGCATTAACTTCTGGAAACACCTTGTGAAAGAATTTGGGGCTACAGTTGCCTCTTATCCAATCCCATAAAAAAGAAATGGGTGGAGATCTAGGTAGTCTTTCATCAGTGGGAGAGCCTCATCTGAACTGAAGAACAGTCATTATCTGAGCCAGCATCTCCTCTATACTCTCAAGACAGTTCTTATGGAGTATCATTTTAGGTTTCTTGTGGAGAAATTAATATATTGCATACAACAGAAGCTATACACTGTGGGGGTTTAAACACTGAGAAAGGCTGCATAGGGCAGACCCATCCCATCAAAACCCATCATCTTCTTTCCCTACTGACAACACTCATTAAAAGTGCTTCCAAATTTTTCTATGGCCTTTTATGGAAGCTTCTTTTGTTGAAAAATCAGTGTGCCCTAGCTTGTCTATGTAATCTCAGTTACACTGAAAGGTAGTTATTCGTCTGCACTAGTTAACACTGATTATCAACTTGACAAGATCAAGCCCTCAGGAATGCCTGGAGAGGATTATCTAGATTAGATCAACTGTGGGAAGACCCAACCTAACTATGGTGGCACCATTCTCTGAATGACTCAATTAGGAGAAAGTGACCCAAACCAGCATTCACCACTCTCTGTCTCCAGCCTCAACTGTCAAGACTTCCCCACCGTGATAAGCTGAGAGGGAACATTAAAGATCGAGCAGAAAAAATATAACAGCTGGAGGATGGGGAGGTGTCCCACAAGAAGACATGGCCATTGTAGTCCTCAACTACTCAGAGCAGCTGTGGCTACCGGAATAAGACCTGCACAAGACTAGACTCATGAATATTTCCTCAGGGATGTAGAAGGGAGCCATGAGGCTCCACCTATCTCAGAAGGACCACTGACACCTAACAGTTGCTGGGAAAGGAATGTCATTTTCTTCAGTTGTGTAGCCAACTCTCACCCCATAAATAACTCCTCACCCATGCTCATGCAAGCAATCATAATTAAACTCAGTGGCTCCTACACAAACCTGAAAAAAATTAAAGTAGGAGGGGGAATTGGAAGAAGAGCAATCATAAGGGGGGTGAGACAGGCTTACAGGAAGTGAAAATGGCTAAAACTCATGGTACACATGTGTGAAATTCAAAGAATAAAAAATGAGATATTTTTTAAAATAGATGAGTGAAGAAAAACCCTTCTCCCTTAGAATGCTTCTGTCAGAGTATTTTACCATAACAAGAGAAGGAATGAACCATTACCTCTCTAAAATTAAAAACCAAGAATTATTACAAAGAAATCTAAGCCTGAGGAGTGACCAGGGAAAAACTAAAAAAAAAAAAAAAAATTACACAGCCAGACCACAAAGTTCTTGCTCCAAACTCACTTTCCCTCTACCTGAATGCAAACAAGTCACACAGAAACAGTGGCTAGATCCTCTCTATCCTTGACTCCAGCCCACCAGTTCTGCTCCTCAGGGACCCACTTAGGCCAACATCCCCACCAAGGAACACCACATGTCTGTCTTTTGTCTGCTCTGTGGAAGTAACAGAGACCACAGAAAACTTACTCGACATTCCCGGCAGCTCTTGTTTAAAATCCGCTGGCCCTCGGCAAGAACTTTTCCTCCATAGATACATTTTGCTGCAAGAAAACAGAAACAAACAGTTAACAACTAGTCATGCTATACTATAAAATGATCCCACTCGTACACAGATTCCCTGAGTCTAAGTGATATAAACTTCTTTGTCTAATGTAAATCATGGGGAGAGGAATATGAATGGCCCCCAAAGCCATCAGCTAGACTTCAGCTTTTTTGAGCTTACCTTGCCTTCACAGCAAAGCCACATAACTGGTGGCAAAAGAAACCAAAGGGTAAATTGATATGATAAGGTATTAAAATAAAAGATGTTAGTTGACATGACCATGCAATTAGCAATAAGTTTTGTGTTTGGATTTTCACTCTCTTTAGTGTGTGTGTGTGTGTGTGTGTGTGTGTGTGTGTGTGTGTGTGTGTGTGTGTGTGTGTGTCTGTGT